ACACACACACACACACACACACACACACACACTCTGAATACACCCTGCGCAGTCTGTTCCCTGTATGGATGCATGTTCTCAGGGCACTGGATAATCAGCTGATGAGCTCTTCCCTGGGGGGAAGACTCTTTCTCCTACTCTCAGTATTTCTTAGTTGCCTGGAGTTCTTTGGGTAGAGCTGAGGTCACGTGAGCTCTTCCTGGTGCACTTTGGCATATCTATTGGTCAATATTCAGCTCATGTTTGGGTGGTCTTGTCAGTGAGACTTTAAGGATGTAGCTTCTGACAGTCCGAGGAAACACAATCTCACAGCAACTCCTTGATCCTCTGACTCTTACAATCTTTCCACGCCCTCTCCCGCAGTGTTCCTTGAGCCTTCGGTACAGGAATGTTTTATAAATGTAGTCACTAGGACTGGGTTCCGCAACTCTGCATTTTGATTGGCTGTGGCTTTCTGTACTAGTCTCTGTGTGTAGCAATCTGAAGTTCCCTTGAATAAGGGGTGGGTAAAGACCACACTTACCTGTGGGTGTGAGGACAGATGTTTAGATTGATTGTTAGGGCTGGACTCACTTACCCTACCCCTCTCTGCTTCTTACAGGTAGATGACATGTGACCACCCTGCTTCCTGACTGCTAGGCCTGCCTCAGGCTCCTGCTGCCACCCCTGTGAAGGACTCATCCACTCTGGGGCTGTAAGCCAAAATAAACCATTTCTTCCCTAACTTGTTTTTGTCCGAGTAGTCTATCACAGCCAGAGGAAAGCAACCAATACACCATTTACATTCCTCTATCCCAACAGACCGTGACACAATATGATTCTGTTTTTACAGAAAGATGGCCAAGGAGACGGGAAAGGAGTTTCCAGTAACTCTATTCGTTTTCCTTTGTGCAGAGCGCCCATCTCAGTTATTCCTCTTCTCATCCAGAGTTCAGGAGAAGGAAGGACAACGGAAGCTCAAAGCCGTGTGACACGGAAACATGACCTCTGTCATACATGTGCACATGTGCTCAGAATTATTTAAAATAACAGATAAGAAAGTATTGCTTAGAACTTTAGCCCATGGTTAAGTCACGTTTTAAATCCATACTTGACTCTGTAGTAAATTTCAGCAAATTATACTGCTATAAGATATAACTTAGAGGCTGGAAAAATGGCTCTGAGGTTAAGAGCACTGGCTGCTCTGCTCTTCTAGGGGTCCTGAGTTCAAGTCCCAGCAACCACCTGGTGGCTCACAGCCATCTACAATGGTGTACAGGTGTACATGAAAAGCATTCATATACATAAAATACAAATTAACAAACACACCTTTGAAAAAAAGAATTTAAAGGTATATTAGTAAATGATAAAAAGAAACTATTTTTAAAATATCAACAGACAGGACAATATATATCAACTTCAGGAACATTGCTAGGTGTGGTATCTGGATACGGTGGTGTTTGCCTGTAGTTCAATACTTAGGAGTTATAGGCAGGAGAAGTTCCATAACTTTGAAGCCATCCTGGTTCACATGGCAAGCTCAAGGCCAACCATGGCTACATAAAAAGACCATGTTCCTCAAAATCAGAGGGAAAAAAGGACAGAGGGAAGGAGAAGAACAAATGAAGTAAGAACTTTAAAATAAACATATTAAAAGAGGGATTGTCACTATGCAACAAGAGCACACACGGGGGTGAGCCAAACGCAGGAATAAGAGGGCCTGTTTAGCAAGCACGAGGCCCTAGGTTCAGCATGGTATCCTCCCCAAATGAACAAAAAACCATGAAAAATAATGACTAGGATATACAGATATCCAAAAACATCACTGATAGGGCAGAATGAGTTGGATAAATGCTAGAAAAGGAGGAAGGAAAGGCAAATTTGTAAGTTCTCCCAGAAGTAGAGAAATGCAGAGATATTAAATCATATGTGAGAAACATTAACACACAAAGCAAGGAGCAGAAAGAATACAAAGAACACTTTCCTATCCTGCATAAGCCTGGGTTAAATTCTCAGCAAAACAAACATATCAATTAGAAGACAGCAGAATGACAAGTCACAAAAAGGGATTGCCAAGAAAGTATTCAGTGGCTCTGGAGAGACGGCTCAATGGTTAAGAGCACTGGCTGCTTTTCCAGAGGACCTGGGTTCAATTCCCAGCACTCACAAGGCAGCTCACAGCTGTCTGTAACTCCAGTTCCAGGAGATCTGACATTCTCACACAGACATACATGCAGGTAAAACACCAATGAACATAAAATAAAAATAAATCATAAATATTTTTTAAGAGTTAGTTTTCAGCATTTGTTTTGTTTTGTTTTGTTTTCAGACAGGATTTCATATGGCCCAGGTTGGTGTGGAACTCACTATGGAGTTAAGAATGATCTTCTACTTCTGGTGGCCCTGCCTCTACCTCCCTTCACCACTCCAGTTACAGTCTATGTGGTGCTAGGGAGTGAGCCCAGAGCGTCACATGAGCCAGGCAAGCACCCTACCAACTGACCTCTATTCCAGACCCAAACAAGTCTAAAAGAAAGGAAGTAGTGGCCGGGATGGGGAAGAGGAATCAACTTGAGATGTTTCAATGCATTGGATAAGAGAAGAAAGAACTTTCAAGGTTAGGATTACTCTAGATTTCTAGCTTGAGAAAATGTGACAAACCTGACTGAAATAAATAAACTAGAGATGTCATACCTATATCAGAACTAACAGCATGGGGCCTGGCATCTTGTTTGCAAGTGGAGCTATCCTACACAGAGCGCTGAGTCTCAAGTGTTAAGGACTGCAGTGAGCTCGGAGATGCTTAGCTTCTAAAAAGAGGGAAAAGCACGGTTGACTCCATTTTAAAAAAGTTGGTTGCTATTCCTACCAGGAGCACAACTATGCATTAAGTCAGAACAAAGGGTCAGTATGGGATGTGAGAGACACTTCAAGGCACCCACACTACTCCCCTTCTCACTCACTGGGTGAACCCTGTGTTTATTGTAGCAATGTGCACAGGGTTTTTTTTCCAGTTTTTTTTATTGATTTTTATTGAACTCTACATTTTTCTCTGCTCCTCTCCCTTCCTCTCCCCTCCCCTCCCCTTCAGCCCTCTCCCAAGGTCCCCATGCTCCCAATTTACTCAGGGGATCTTGTCTTTTTCTGCTTTCTACTTCCCATGTAGATTAGATCCATGTAAGTCTCTCTTAGGGTTCTCATTGTTGTCCAGGTTCTCTGAGATTGTGATTTGTAGACTGGTTTTCATTCCTTTATGTTTAAAAACCACCTATGAGTGAGTACATATGATAATTGTCTTTCTGGGTCTGGGTTACCTCACTCAATATGATGTT